TCTATAAACATAATTGCCATAACAGAATGAATAATACAATTGCTGTCTCTTATACACATCTAGATGTGTATAAGAGACAGATATATGGGTGTTTGAAATTGATCATTCCTCACATACCATTAAACAAATACAATACAGTACTGTAGTAACTCTTGGGTACTGTGGCCAGGCCACTTGCTTATCTTTAGAATGAGCATGAGTCATAGTAGGTCAGCGACTGTCGACATTGTTTTAGAATCAACTTTTGATAAGGGGGATGATTGGAGACTGGCAGCAAGCATGGAGGTGTTTGTAGCTCCATGTGTTGCAATACTTACCGTAAATAATACTTAATAATGTAATAAGTAATAAAATATAACAAACATAGGCCGATTTAATTAGTAATAAATAATATAAACTTAATTTAATAATAATATAATCTCCAACTTATTTGAGTTTTATCTTCTAAGTTTTAAGTTTTATGGTTTAAATAGCTTTTTAATAAACGTATTTTGTTTTACTAAATTTATATTTGACTTTGTCTTAATACTTTGTCTAATGTCTCTATAATGTAAACACCTAGCGAACAAATTTTGCAGGTCACATATACGTATATATACACACACAACCCCAACCGCCCCCCCCCCCGACACACACACACAATATTGCCAATGTCAAGTTCTCGTCGTTCTACTGTTTTGGGGATGAATTCAAGTAGGGAGTGACAGTACTTTGAAATGGTTTCCACACAATTGGTATGTACTAATCAATCAATTGTTAAATTGCTCTGGTAAGCCTAAATAATTACTGTCTACGCATAGAGTGTGATAACTATTCAGTTATTAACTGTATACTATATAAAAACACAATCAATCAAGTTTAGTAGTCCCTCATACCCCATCATTTTTCATATTTTGATTACCTATTGTTTGAAAGAAGTAGAAAAATATTCGACTGGACTAAAGTGTCTCTATAACTATTAATTCAACGTCGGCATTATATAATACGGTAGTTATTTTTTATAGATAGCATTTTGGAAGTTTTTATCATGGGCGGATCCAGAAATTTCCTGACGGGGTCCATAAAGTTTCTGACGGGGTGGGGGAGATCAATAGGTAGTTCACACCCACCTCAAAATTGGAATATTTCATCTCAATTTTTTTTTTTTTTTACAAATGTAGAGGGTCCTCGCAGGCTGGGTATCCCACCCCCACTGGAAATGAAGCCCATGGGCTTCTTTTCAAGATAGCATAGACTTGTTTTCGAGATAGTACAGTACATAAACTGTACATGAATTTTATAAAAATAATAATAAATTATGAACAAGCTTGGTTGATACAGTATAGTTATAGGTGATTTAATGCCAGTTAAATCCACTCCATGACACAGATTGATGTTACAGTGGCCTTTATTTTATTGTTTTATAGGATAAATTCACAAAATTTACAGAATTCATTTTGAAAAGAAGCCCCCCCCCCACACACCTCTTTACTTTGCAAGAGTAGCCTCGAAAAGGAGCCCATATTGAAAAGAAGCCCATCTCGAAAAGAAGCTGATCTAAAGTTCGCAATAAAAAGAGGCCCAGGGCTTCAAGGTTTTATGGTTATGTCCTACTGTCGATGTCAGAGACACATTATTATTAGATCAGGGTGTGCTATAGTGTGAGGACCATACTTGACTGGACCCTATAGGTAGGGGCAACGCAGGTCGGTTGTCATGCGGACAACCGCACGAGAGCGCATGTGCGTTACGCCACTGAGCATGGATAGCTGTTCTATAATAGCTGGGTACTCTACATTCCGTGATAATAGCTAAAAAACTCAGTATTAGGTCTCCATCTTTTGGCCCTTTTTTTACATCGTTGGAAAAAATTGACGTCGGGGATAATGCGTTGTGTTTGTCGTAAATCAATATAACATTAAAAATGAGTGAGTAGTACAATAATCAAGCTCTCCTTGCTCCCACTGCTGGATCCAATACTGAACTCATGGGTACACTTACTTGTTTCCCTCTTTCTTCCCTTTAACTCTCCTCAATTTTTCCCCTCATGGGGGTTGACGGGGGGGGGGGGAGCACAGCCTCCACCTGTGGCCCCCGCTGGATTCGCCCCTGTTTATGCTGCATTAGTTTGAGAAATCCTAGGCTAAGAATAATAACGATGAAAAATCTAGCATTCGATATTTTGATGTGCTATATTATAACTGATGGATTTATAATCCATAAAAGTTTGGCAGGAAATAATATAGAAATAAAAGGAATAAACCACAGATTAGCTGTTCTGAATATTAAGATAAACAAAAGATACAACATGAACATTTTATGCACCAACATAAACATACATAAATAGAGCAACACTATGAAACACAACAGAAATTTTAAATGGCAAGAAGGAACACTACACACTCATAATCGGAGACTTCTATGCAAAAGTAGGTAAAATTGAACATAGTGATCGAGGAGTAGTAGGCCAATTTGGATATGGTGAAAGACAGGGGAGACCAACTTGTAGAATTTGCAATAAACCACCTCAAAATCGTGAACACATTCTTTAGAAAAAAGGACCATCGTAAACGGACATGAGGTGCCCAAATTGAAGAACCCGAAATGAAATTTATCTGATCCTTGCAGACAAACCAGAAATCATAAAATTTGTCACAGTTTTCAACAAGGTGAACAAAGGAGGCGACCATAAGTTAGTGATGACAAAAGTAAAGTTTAACACAAGACTAGAAAGAAAAAAACTATTCAAAAGCAAACACCCAAAAGCAATTTAACAAAGTTAAATGAGAAAAGAAGAGGATTTCAGTTAGAACTATCGAACAGACTTGAAAGCTTAGAAACCGAAATCAGAGAGACCGAGCCTCATAAACAAACACTAGACTGGAAGGCATGACATCATTACCGGAATAATACAAGACTCGACTGTAAAAGTTGCAGGCAAAAACAAGCAAAAGCACAAGATCGATACAATGTCTAAAGAAACCAAAAAACTAATGGAAAAAAGGAGGGAGATAAAAAAAACAATGGGAACAGTAGGCGAAACATAGAATATGCAGAAACATGTAAAACAATTAGGAAGAAACTAAGAGAAGATATTAGAAATAACAACGCTACAGAAATTAAATTAACTATTGAGAATAACAGAGGTCTAAAGAAAACATAAAAGGCTAGGAAAGTAAACAAAAGATTAACTGTCCAAAGAAAAAAGGAGGAGAAACAATCCATGACCAAGATCAAATCCTAAACAGAGTCAAGGAATTTTATAAAGACCTATACAACAGCAACGAAGCACCACTAGGAACTACAACCACACAATTATAATAAAGCATCAATACCTACAATAACAAGCTGGGAAGTCAGGCATGCTGTCAATAAAATGAAATTGGGGAAATGCTTACTCGCAGAGCAGATAAAAGAAGGACAGTTAATTATAGAAAAAGAACTTGCGAAGTTATTCACAGACTGTCTTGTTCAAGAAAAAATCCCTGCCAAATGGAAAGAGGAAAACATGGTCCTGATTCACAAAAAAAGGAGATAAGAAAGAAATGACAAACTATCGCCCCCATCAGTCAAACCTGTACAGAAAGTACAGCAGAATTCTTACCTGCAGGCTAGAAACTATACTAGTTCTGGATCTGGATTGTACTCCTCAACGCCCCTAAAAGGAGTAAAGCGAGAAGGGGTACGGTGGTGCTGTAGCTTAGCGTTCTGTATTCCTTAGGTGGTCGGATCTAGATCTGGATTGAAATCAACCTAGAGAACAGGCTGGATTTAGGCAGGACTTCTCCACAACAGACCACATCCATACAATGAATCAGCATCGAGAGAAATGTCAAGAATTCAATCTAGAATTATGGATAGCCTAACAAAAGGCATTTGACTCAGTTCAGACAAAGATAGTCATAGAAGCCCTACAAAAACAAGGAACAGACAACAAATACATTAACATCATCAAAGACAAAAAAAGGGAGTCAGGCAGTAATTTAAGTAATTTACAGCAACCCATGAAGAAATATTCAAGTCAATCTAGTGGGACCAAATGGCAGTAAACATAAACAGAAAAAATCTCACCTATCTTCGTTTTGCTGATGATGTTGTTATAAGTCAACCAAGAAACCACCTAAAAAGGATGCTGGAAGATCTTGAAATGGAAAGCAAGAAAGTAGGTCTAAAGATGAACATGAGTAAAACAAAATTTATGTCAAATGCAGATACTTACTGCCACAAGAAAATCTAACAGATTTGTAAACTTATTTCGAAAATCTGTCCATCCTCTCTTCTTTAATTTTTTGACAATTTTGTTTTCAACTTCATCTGCTGTGCTATCGTAAATTATAAAGAAATCGCAATTGTCTTTCCATTCTTCCTTTTCCTTAGCCTCTGGATAATTTTTGTCTCTAAACATTGTCACTGCATAGTTTAATATGCTACGAGCTTTGTTAATTACAATACTAATCTTCATACAGGAGTATAGACGAGACAATAAGTAATTATATTCCATTTCAAGTTGGCATTGACGTAATTCATTTAAAGTGTTTTTCATTAAACAGTCACCATCATAAGAAAGCACAAGTTCACGAAGATCGTTTTCCAACATTGATTTGTCCTTACCAGTGTTTGCCGCGACACATTGTTTAATTAAAGCACAGTATAGAAAAAAATGTTTATCATATTTATTTTCTCCGATTAATGCTAACAATTTATTTGCACCCTGTAGGTTGCCAGTTTTCGTTGCTTTTATGAAGTGCTTTAACGCTCCCTCTTGGTCGCCTGACTTAGCTGCCTTCTCGCCTTCAGCTACTGCCACATATGCCTTCATGTCAAGAATTTTCAACCTTTCATCTGCTTCATCTTCTCGCACATCCATACCGTCCAGAAATGCTAGCATTGTACTTGCTACGCTTACGTTACCAGACTTCAGTGTAACATTTGCTAACCCAATCCGGATATTTAATTCTTGATGCCGATTATGTTGCTCATTACTTTGAAGAAGTGTACCTAAGGCTTCTTGATAATAAAAACAAGCATTCCTATATTTTTGAAGTTTTTCATTGAGTTCAGCAAGATTAAGCTTGGGATTAATATCATAAGGGTCCGTCTTTCGCTTAATCTCCCAATTTCTTTTTAGATATTTAATAACGGACCAAATTCCTCTATTTTGTTCTTCATAAAATTCAACACATTCTGATGTACCTTCTTTTACAAACGACTCGAATGCGATTTCTAAGCACTTTTTATTTTTTGAAAGTGCCTCATCATATTTACGTTCAGCGTTCAAGTACATTGCAAATGCGTAATTTATATCAAAATATGCAAAGGGATAATCTTTGAAATTAAGCGGAAGAGTATCGTAAATTTCTAAAGCTTCTTCTTGTCTTCCAATACGTGTTAGTGCAACTGTCTTTTCTATCTTGGCTGCAATGTTGGCCGGATTTAATTTGATAGCCAATTCAAGACATCTCAATTCTTGTTCAGTATTATTTTGTTCGCGACGAAGTACTGCTTCCTGAGAAATTATACATGCAGCAGTTTTAAAGCGGGATTTAGCATAATCGATGACATTGCGGGCTGCTAAAAAATATCCGGATTGCAATTGAGAAGAGCATAAGACTCGCAGCTCTTTAGGCATAGGAACCGTTTGTTGAATGTCAGTGCTACTGGATTTATCTTTTACAGAATACGCGGAACCCATTCGAATAAAGCTTTGTGCCACTATGCTCAATATTTTTGGTCTGAGAGCGTTATGCATTGATGATACAAGTATTGATATTATATTACTTATATCATTGAGTTTTGTTTTATAGAGTTCATGCTCTTTACTAACGTAGTATTCTTGGTTTCTTTCTGGTTGTAAGTCACTCGCATCTTTACAATCTTGAAATTCCTTGTTTTTATGTTCATATTTTCTTCGTTTTATATCTGCTGAAATCGCCATAGCGTAGGCGTGATCAGACTTATATTCCAAAACTTTGTTCATAATAATTTCAACATTATCTAGATTAGATGAAGTAAAATATCTTCCAAGACCACTTTTACCTTTTCGCCACTTTATGAGTCCAAACATAAACAACCATTCTACATTGTCGGGACAGGCATCAGTAGCTAGTTTTAGCTCTATTTCACTTTCGTAGTATCTAGCAAATGATAATCTTGAAAAGGCAAATCCTTTTGTGGCGTGAATACTAGCTTGGAACATCGTTTGTGTTCCCGATGCTTGATGCTTTTTATCTAGTTCCTTAAGTTCTTCCAATTCCTTAAATGATTCCTTTTCATTTTTCAATGCCAACCAGCAACGCATAGCCAAATATATCGATTTATAACCATCTCTTATTGGCTCATTTTCTATTTCATTTATCAGGCGATAAGCTGTTTCATTGCTTTCTTTCGCTTCCAAAATGTCTTTATATCCTATTCCCTTAATACCTGACATACATATGTAGCTATTGAAAAAGTGTGCTTCAATGGATGCGTTGTTTTGGAGATACTCATCAATGGACTCTTTTAGTGGCGCAAATGTTTTAGATGTATTTTCAAGATTCCAATTAGCATGGAATTCAATAAGTTTAAGTCTGTCATTTATTTCTTTGAAACTCATTGTATAAACTGAAAGACAATAAAAGTAATTTAAGCATTATATCAAATATACATAAACACCGGCCAACACACACACACACACCACACACACCCCCACACCCCCCCCCCACACACATATATATATAAATATATATAAATATATATATATATAGCCGTTAACACTGTTAAATTATTATATAAATTATCAAAGAATGGTAATTAAATACTGTGTTCGAATAAACGACATAATACTACATCGTGTGGCATAGCTCTCAACGAATGTAGTCTTATAAATAAGTGAATAAGGAAATTGTGTAATAAAATGCCTCTGACGGGATTCGAACCTGTGACCTCCCGCTGTCAAGGCGAACATATTGCTCCAGTGGAGTCGTCGCCGGCTGAGGTACCTTTAAGGCCTAGGCCTAAGTCAAGAATATTATTTATGGCAAATACTATCGCAGCATTAAAAAAAAATGAAGCTTCCCCATTTGATGCAAGAGTATTATTTTGCAGTTATTTTTAAATCCAAAATTAAATCATAGGTGTTTGTATTTACTGCCGATGATAATGATCATCATATGACATAACAACTTATTAAACGTACTGGCATTAGGATGTACCATACCAACCAGGACTATTATCACCAGCCTGTTTCCTAGACTAAGTTTGGTTGATCAGTACCGTAACGGTTAAGGTTATTTTTTTTCTTTATTACCTACACAGTGCAGCCTAGCCTCGGCCTATACCTGTATGTAGATTGTAGCCTACAATAGCAGCATTCTAGAGCCTAAATAAAGTGCACGGAAATTGCCAAAATAATTATAAATCACTACTGTATTTTTTTTTAATCAGTCTTATAAATAAATGAATAAGGAAATTGTGTAATGAAATGTCTCTGACGGGAATCGGACCTGCAACCTCCCGCCGTCAAGTCGAGCACCATAACCATTAGTCCTATTGTGATAGAGTGTATCTGGCGGTATTTGAACCTGTTCAACCATGAAGCTTCTGTGGTCTAATGGTTATGTGTAATAAAATGCAACTGGCGGGATTCGAACCTCTGCGACCTCCCGCAGGTTCGAATCCTGCCAGAAGCATTTTATTACACAATTTCCTTATACATTTATTTATAGGACTACATTCGTTAAGAAGAGCTATGCTACATGATGTATTAT